CTCTTCAGCTCAAGGCTAGCACTCTACCACTTGAGCCACAGTGCCACTTTGGCTTTTTTCTTTTTGCTTATGTGGTGCTGAGGAATTGAACCCAGGGCCTCATACATGCAAGGCAAGCATTCTCCTACTGAGCTACCTTCCCAGCCCCCCAACCTACTTCTTTTTAAACCATAAATACTCTGGATATTAGAATACTCATTGTACCTGTTATCAGATGTGCCCACACTTATGTATAAGTTGTGTACTGTCTTCCTTTTGCTTTATTAAATAAACTTTCTTTGGTCTACCTTAAAGTATCTGAAAATTCTTTTTTTTGGTAACATCATGAACGAGATATCCAAGGGTCAGGTGGAAGTTTCTTTTCTTTGGATAACCAGTTCTTTTAAGCCTCTCCAATAATGGACCTCAACTCTCCTATGTACATCCTCCCTCATAGGTAGGATAACAAGTGTGTATCACCATACCTGGTGTTGTATTGTTGAATTTTTAATCCAGGCTGGTCTTGGATTGTGATTTTTTTCCCCCATTGCCCCATCTCTGCCTCCTAAACCTTTAGGATTACAGGCATGAACCACTATACTCACTATAACCTATATTTTTAACCACTTGAATTAGGGTTTATTGCAAACCTAACAAAAGCCAGGTGTCAATGGCTCATGCCTATAATCCCAGCTGCTCAAGAGGCTGAGATGCTGAGGACTGACGTTTGGGGCCAGAATAGGCAAACAAATCTGAGAGACTCATATGTCCAATTAACCACCACAAAGGCAGAACTGTAGGCTTGGCTCAAGGGTTAAAGCTCTACTCTGGAGTAAAAAGGCTGAGAGCTCCAGGCTTTGAGTTCAAACCCAGGCTGAGTTCAAGGTCCAAGCACAAAATAAAACACACAAAAGCCTAATGAAAGCCACATTCTCTAGAATTAGGAGCTATGTAAATATGCAGGACACATTTCTCAAAAACTCATAATAAGAACCTAGGCTTTATGGATCTTGAAACTCACATTATTTATGGGGAAGCAATCCTCTTTTATTATGATTTTAAATTTAGTTTTGATTTAGGTTGCAAACAAATGTAAAACATAGAAAGGACAAAATTACCTTCTGAAGCTAAGGAATTCTGGTATACAGGATAGTGTTTTTCCTTACAGAAACTCGTTCTATTAATATATCTTTCCTATAATATTGATTTTTCAAAATATTACAAGTAAGGTTATACCATTCACAGCTAAGCAACTTATTTTTCTCATTTAATAGTGTATTGGAAAAAATTAGACACCATATGTTTCTTTTTGTAGGCCCAAACTGATACTCAGACTCGGTACCTACCTGCTGCTTTTGTTCATTGGCTAGTGCTCTACTAACTGAGCAACAACTCCAATCCCATTATAATTCTTTTTTTTTTGGTCCAGTCGTGGGGCCTGAACTCTGGGCCTGGGAGCTGTCCCTAAGCTCTTCAGCTCAAGGCTAATACTCTAGCACTTGAGCTACAGCGCCACTTCCGGCTTTTTTCTTTTTGCTTTTGTGGTGCTGAAGAATCGAACCCAGGGCCTCAGGTATGCAAGACAAGCGCTCTACCACTGAGCTACTTTCCAGCCCCCCCATTATAATTCTTGTGTGAAAAATAATTTTGAGTTTTTCATTTCTATGCTTTGATCTAATTAGTCATTAGTTGATTTGAAACTTTTTTTTTTTTTTGGGTCCAGTCGTGGGGCCTGAACTCTGGGCATGGGCGCTGTCCCTCAGCTCTTCAGCTCAAGATTAGTGCTCGACCACTTGTGCCACAGCGCCACTTCTGGCTTTTTTTCTTTTTGCTTATGTGGTGCTGAGGAATTGAACTCAGGGCCTCAGGCATGCAAGGCAAGCACTCTACCACTGGGCCACCTTCCCAGCCCCCCCATTATAATTCTTGTGTGAAAAATAATTTTGAGTTTTTCATTTCTATGCTTTGATCTAATTAGTCATTACTTGATTTGAAACTTTTTTTGTCTGAAGCAGGACTCAGACTTGGTATCTGGCACTTTTGCTCACTAGCTTGAGATCTACCATTTAAGCCACACCTCCAACTATGAAATTAAACTATTTTTAGTGTATTCAAAATCAGCCATGTTAATTAGGCAGTATTTATTTTTTATTTTTATTTTTTATTGTAAAGGTGATATACAGATGGATTACTGTTACTTAAGTCAGATAATAAGTACCGCTTCCTTTGTTTTATCCCAGTAATATTTAAAGGTACACTGAGCCAGGTGATGGTGGCTCACACCTGTAATCCTAGCTACTCAGGAGGCCGAGATCTGAGGATTGAGGTTCGAAGCCAGCCCAGACAGGAAACACTGTGAGATTCTTATCACTAATTAACCACCTAAAAACCAGAAATGAAGTTGTGGCTCAAAGTGTTACAGTTCTACCCTTGAGCAAAAGCGCTCAGGGACAGCACCTAGATACTGCATTCAAGCCCCATGATGTACATACACACACACACACACACACACACACACACACACACTCACAAACACACACACACACATATAGAAAAAATTTTATTAAATTGAAAAAGAAAATTCCTTTTGTATTTATGATTTTTTACTTTTGTTAGTAGGCTTGTGTGTGCTAGGCAGGTGCTCTATTGGTGAGCTCTTTTTGCCTGGATGGAATGTTACCTGTGTCTTTTATGCTTCCTACTATAATTGGGATGAGAGGCATGTGTCCTACACCAAGAATCTTCCATCAAGATGAAATTTTGGGAACATTTTTTTGGCCTGCATTGGCCTGGAACATGATCCTGATTAATCTTCAGCACCCTGGCTAGCAAGGATGCAGGTATGGTCCAATGAGCCTTTATGTATTTGTGATTTTTGTTCAGAAGTTTGTTATTTTATTTTAGTAAGAAGAAAAAATATTTCTGTAGCCTCTAAGATATGGAAATTGACCACAAAGTAATGCAAATAATCCTTTTTTCTAAAACAGAAAACTCAATATTATATACCAACATGAGTCATTTATTTTTTATTTTTAGAACAGCTGAAAAACGGTTGACTGAGCTCCTGTCCTTCTCAGACAGGAAACACAGGTTGGCAAGGAAAATCTCTTCCAGTTATGGCCAAGGTCTACAGGCCAAGATAAGCCACTGACCCAGAGGCTAATTGCTTGAAATCCTGAAAGCTAGAAACCATTTGCTCTAGGCTTGAGAAGCCAGAGATTGCAGGGCACCGGTGGCTCACAGTGTAATCCTAGCTACTCAAGAGGCTGAAATGTGAGTATCAAAGTTCAAAGCCAGCCTGGGTAGGAAAGTTTGTGAGACTCTTATCTCCAATAAACTACTCAGAAAAAACTGGAAGTGATGCTGTGGTTCAAGTGGGTGAGCATTAGCTTTGAAAACAAAGAGGCTCAAAGACAGCGCCCAGGCTCTGAGTTCAAACCCCAGGCACTCTACATTGGAGATCAATTGCTTGAGGTTTTAATGGCAAATATCTACAGCATATGGACTTTTTAAATTCTTGGTTTCTGGTAGGGAGCAGAACCTACAGATAGCAGTTAACAGTGGTGGCTGTGACTTCCTACTGCAGTACTCCATACAGGTCTCAGGAACTGAGACCCTCAGTCCTATAGCAGCAAATATAGCTCCCAGACCTAGGTATTGGGAACCTCAGCCCTTAGCAGCTCTTAGGCCTGGGGAAGCCATACCTTTGGGCCTCCTCAAGCCATCAGGGCATGCAATTTCTCTTTCCTGGCTCTTTATAGCCTTCTAGTTTTCTTTAGTTTTTTTTTTTTTTTGGTCAGTCATGGGGCTTAAACTCAGGGCCTGGGCTCTTTTTCTGTTGCTCTACTACTTTGAGCCACATCTCCACACCCAGCTTTTTGCTGATTAACTGAAGGTAAGTGTCTCATGGACTTTTCTGCCTAGGGTGGCTTGCAACTGGGATCTTCAAATCTCAGCCTCCAGAGTAGCTAGCTAGGATCAACAGGGATGAGCCAGTGGGGGCTGGCTGTTGGACTGTTTTTTGACTCACCTTCACACTTGCTTAGTTCTGTTAAAACAAGAATCTTAAACAAAAACTTCACAGCTCTCAGTTTATTTCCTTCTCTACCTGTAATAATTTTACATTCTTCCCCAGTTTCCCTAAAGAACAACGGATGAAGTTAAATGATGTCGGTATTAATGTTATATATTCAGCGTGCTAAGTCCAGTCAAGACACAAGGGTAGTTCAGTTGTTCCACTGACACAGTTTGGTTCAGGTAAAACACTGTCTTTGCCTTTAGTGCAGACACAAAACAAAACACAACACAACAAAGAAAAAGGGTTGGGAGAGATAAAGGAGAATAATGAAAGGTGTTGACATCGATCAGGATACATTATACTCACAAACTGACGTGTTGCATTGAAATCCCTTTGTACAATTCTTTAAGATAATTAAAAAAATTGAAAAACAACACAAAATAAACAAAACAATCCCCTCTCCTCCCAAATAATTCAGCATGACACTTTTTGTTCACTGTAGCATAGAGGGGCAGTTGCATGTTTTCAATTACATGTTTTCTTTTTGTTTTTTTTTTTTTTTTGGGGGGGGGTTGGCTGCACTGTCCCTTCTAGCCTAGATCTATAGATCTCTTAGGAGTCAGGAAGCTGTATGATTTTCTGCGTCTCAATGTCTGATGCTACCTGGGTGTCAAAGTGGGAGAGTGACGAGGAGCCTGCCCGGTGCGACTGAAAATTGCCCCCCAAGACGTGGGTGATTCATGATGGTGGGCCCCGACTTACCGTTGGAAAAAAGGGGGAAATGTGAAGCACCTGGCGGGCCGCCAGAGGACTGGTTCGGTGGGCGGCGGCCACGCCCGGTGCGCAGCCGCAGGGGGCCGAGGATAAGACTCAAGAGTCGGCAGCGAGGTGCGCATTCCGCTTCTTCACGCCGCGGACCCCCGCCCCGCGCACGCGTCTCGCGAGCCTCCTCTCCGGCCTAGCCCTTCCCGCGAAGGCACCCCGGTCCCTGCGGGGCCACGCCCCTCCTCGCGCACGCTCTGTGGGATCCGCGCGCTGGAGCCCGCCAGCCAGGGCGTGCGGTGGGCGGGGCGCCGCGCTGACGTTGCCTGGGATGCGGGCCGGTTCCGCCGCCGCCTCCGCCTCCGCCTCCGCCTCCGCCGCCTGCGCCGCTCCTGCCCACCGGGGTTTGTATGAAAACACCCGGCGGCGGGCGGCGAGAGCTCCGCGGCGCGCCCGGAGAGCAGCCGTCGGCGGGTGCTGCGGGCACGGAGTTGGTTGCCGGGTCTCTCCTGGTGGCCCAGCGCAGTCCCCGCTAGCGCCCTGTCTGCAGCCGGTGAGCGTCCCTCAGCGGTCCGCGCCTCTGCCCGCAGCCCCTCGGCTGTCCGGCCGCAGACGCGGGCGGCGGTGGGCTGTGGGGGAGAGCGATCCCCGGGCCCCGCAGCCCCTCACCGGACGGGCCGTGTGACGCGCTTGTGGCGGGGTGGGAGGCGGGCTGTGTCTGGGAGGAACACTGTCCCGGCCCGGGCCTCTGGTCCCTCCTAACCCCCTCCGCGTCCCCCTCGCCCCCCCTGCCGCCGGCTCCGGCCGTCCGCGCCTGTTCGCGCCGGTCCGCTCCCCGGTTTCCGGCCGAGGCGGTGTTGTGGCCTGAGCGCGTGTCTCCGCATCGCCCCGCGCACCTCGCCGAGGGGCGGTGTCGAGCGCCGCCCTTCCCGTCCCCCACCCGGGTGCGCGGTGAGCCCTGCCTGGCGGCCCAGTGCCTGCCTGGCGGGCGGGGTTGGTGTGGTCGGCGGCCGTCCTGTTGCTGCGTGGTTTGCACACAAGTGTGTTTTCTGTTTACAACTGAGCCCTATGGCTTGGCTTGGAACCCGAGTGAGGTCCCTGTAGGGTGACAGTGCGGGGGGTGCGGGTTCTCAGGTGCTAGTGTCCAGGGCTTGGGGCGAGCCCTGCGCAAAGCTTGCTAGGCCGGGGACTGGGGGCTGGTGGGGCGGGGAGGGGGGGCTTTTCTTCTGTGTGAGCTCTAAACCTCTTAGCAGCAGGAGGGCTTTGGGTGGGTGCGGTTGCTTTTCTGGCCATCTTTACAGAATGGAATTTTTTTATAGCAATATTTTATTGTGCTTAAGTGATTACATACATTTCACAGATTTCACAGTATTGTGAGGTAGTGATACATAAAATCACAAACAATGGATTTTTTGGAAAAATATCACAGTGTTACTGATGTAAATGTTGATATTTTTATAATTTCAAGCGCATTTTCCCTTTTTATTCTGACTAAATAGCTTGCTCAAGCCTCTGAAGGTAATACCGGAAATCTTTAGCAGGAGAGTATTTGTCCTTTTTTTCTTCTTTTTATTCCGTTTACAGTTGTAGAGGTATTATATTCTAATAACGACAGATCGTACTTAGGACTTTGGGCAGCTTAATGATTCTTGTCACATAAATCTGTATATTGTTTTGTGTATAATATTTACATAAATCTCGATTTATAAATGGAGATAGTCTTTGAATTGCCAACCTCTGAATTCTTAACTCCTTCCTTCCTTCACGCTCCCCCCTCCCCCCGTTTTTCTTTCTTTCTTGTAGCCAGAAAGTTATTTTTACAATCATGTTGTGGAATGTTTTCAGCTTAGTAGACCAAAAAAGAAATAATTTATTTAAAGCACTTTAAATGGCATGTACTTTACAACATGTGCCAAGTGTTAAAACCAATGCAAGCTCTGGAAGATCTGCAAGTGTTTCCATGCAGGATTGTAGTGGGATAATTAGTGCTGCCTCATTGATCCCTCATGTCTCATCCTAACGGTAGAAAATTCTAAAGACCTTTGCGATTCATCATTACATTATTTTGAGTCAGACTCTATGGTGAAGTTACAGGTTCATTGTTAGTGACCTCAAAACTCTGCCTTGGATTCATTCATCCCATATCAGAACTGCAGTGTGAGTTGAACTCGAAAACAGAGGAATAGACAGTTATCTTTGTGTTTGATCAGCATTGGAAAACAATGAAATCATTATTATTATTTTTTTGTGGGTCAAGGGGCTTGAACTCTGGGCCTGGGTGCTGTCCCTAAGCTCTTCAGCTCAAGGCTAGCGCTCTATCACTTGAGCCACTGCACCTCTTCTGGCTTATGTGGTGCTGAGGAATCGAACCCAGGGCCTCATGCACGCAAGGCAAGCAGTCTACCACTGAACCATCTTCCCAGCCCTTGATACTTATTTATAAAGCTTTCCCATTAGGCTTGAATTGAGGCAATCTCTTTAGAGTGAAGTCTGGCTAGACTAGTGTGTTATAATGATTTATCTTTATTAGTAAAAATAAAAGAATGTCCAAGCTTTATAAAAATCTCAAATTTGAATTCTACAGTTTGGATTTTGTTTTTAATTTTTTTTTCTTCCCTGGTCCTGGGGCTTGAACTCTGGGCGCTGCCCCTGAGCTGCTTTTGCTCAGGCTAGCACTCTATCACTTGAGCCACAGTGCTACTTCTGTCTTTTTTTTTCGGAGATAAGAGTCTCACAGACTTCCTTTCTTTCTTTTTTTCTTCTTTTTGTCGGTCTTGGGGCCTGAACTCGGCCTGGGTGCTGTCCTTCAACTCTTCAGCACAAGGTTAGCGCTCTACCACTTGAGCCACAGTGCCACTTTTGGCGTTTTCTGCTGATGCGGTGCTAAGGAATCGAACCCAGAGCCTCATGCATGCAAGGAAAACACTACCACTGAGCTACCTTCCCAGCCTCTCACAGACTTTTTTACCTGGGCTGACTTTAATTGGAGCCTCCCGAAATAGCTAGGATTATAGGTTTGAGCCACTGATGCCTGGCTTTGGATTTTGTTTTTAAACCTTCTCCACAGTATTCATTTTGAAAATATATTGTTCTTGCCTGAAGTGTCTCAGTACCTGGAAGTTGAGTTGAGATAAATAATTAGTAAATGTGCAGAGAGTGCTTTGCAAGTTGAGAACTTCTGTCAGGCAATGTATATCAGTGCAAACAATAAAATTGTCTAGTGTGAGCTTACACCTGTAATCCTAGCTACTCAGGAGGCTGGGATCTGAGGATTGGGGTTGAAAGGCATACTGGGAAGGAAAGGCCCTGAGACTTATTGGCAATAAAAACCACTCAGAAAACCGGAAGTGGTGCTGTAGCTCAAGTGGTAGAGCACTATCCTTGAGCTGAAGAACTGAGGGATAGTGCCCAGGCCCAGAGGTCAAGCCCCATGACTGACCAAACAAAAAAAAAGAAAAAAGTAAAATTGTCTAGGGTGGGCACTGACTTTTTTGTGTGCTGGTGTTGGGGCCTATACTCATGGTGGGCACTAAACTTTAAACTTCATGTATTGTTAATGGTTACTGTCCTGTGTACTGCAGTGTAATGGCTAAGGAGTTGGGGCATGAGCCAGATTGACTCTGGGGAAGATACTTAATCTCTTTGTGCCTTGATTTTCTAGACTTTAAAACTGGGGATAATGTGTTAACCCTTAAGGTGAACTCAAATTTGTGTTAATTCATAGAAAAATTGTTTATACCTCAGTGCCTTAGATGTAATTAGTGCTCAGTAAGTATCATTACCACTACATATTTTCTTTAGTCTTCCAGAGGCCTATTAGGCTGAAAAAAATTGGGCAGACCTGTGTTAGTACAGACTTAATTTTGCCATGACACATTTTCTCCTTTGAGGCTGAGGGGTTAGTTTCACTGTCCTGCCTTGGATGCATATAAATCAGTTTTAAATAGAACAGCTAGCTCCTGAGCTGGGTGCTCTGGGATGTTGCTAGCTGCTGAAGTATCCTTGCATGTCCCTCTGACAGAACCTTGGATTGACTCCTTCCTAGTAGTGGTGGCTGCTATTTTAATCACTATTTTTGAGTTTGCTATTGGGTATTACCTTTTGTCCTATGCTGCTACCAGAATTATTATCTATATTAATGGGATATATGTTTATCTGATAAGAACATCATATGGTGCTTTCAATATATGCAAATTGTATTTTGTTTTTTTTTTGGGGGGGTCCGGTCGTGGGTCCTGAACTCTAGGCCTGGGCGCTGTCCCTCAACTCTTCAGCTCAAGGCTAGCATTCTACCACTTGAGCCACAGCACCACTTGCGGTTTTTTTCTTATGTGGTGCTGAGGAATCGAACCCAGGGCCTCGAGCAAGCAAGGGAAGTGCTCTACCACTGAGCCACCTTCCCAGCCCCGCAAATTGTTTTTATCATGGTTTGTTTTCTTGTTTATTGATACTGTAAGTGTGTGTGTGGGGGGGATTGATTTGACATTGTGCTTATCTTCAGCTTTCACGTGATTTTCCTAGGAAAGATTTTTCTTTCAGTTAATGATTTTATGTGCTTCTTCTTGGTTTACAGTGTTCAACTATGACTTGAATTTTTTTTTTTTGTGGTGGTCCTGGGGCTTAAACTCACGGACTGGCACCTGTCCCTGAGCTTTTTTCCTCAAGAGTAGTGTGCTCACTTCAGGCTCTTCTGTGATTAATTGTAGAATCTCACAGACTTTCCTGCCCAGGTTAGCTTCAAACCATGATCCTTAGATCTCAGTCTCCTGAGTACTTAGAATTATAGGCATGAGCCACTAGTACCTGGCTATAAGTTGAGTATCTTTATCTTATATGTCCATAGCCAGAGGCATTTCAGATTTCAAACTTTTTTAAAATTCTGGAATATTTGCATGTACACAATTAGATAAATTGGGGATGGTACTCAAAGTGTAAATATGACATTCATTTGCATTTTTTTTTTTTTTTGGGTCTGGTCGTGGGGCCTGAACCCTGGGCCTGGGCACTGTCCCTCATCTCTTCAGCTCAAGGTAGCGCTCTACCACTTGAGCCACAGCGCCACTTCTGGCTTTTTTCTTTTTGCTTATGTGGTGCTGAGGAAATCAAACCCAGGGCCTCATGCATGCAAAGCAAGTGCTCTACCACTGAGCCACCTTCCCAGCCCTCATTTGCATTTTCTATATCCCTTATATACATAGGTCAAAGATTATTAAATGTGACATTGTTTTCAATACATTGAAGGTCAGTTATCTGTGAATTCTATACATGTGATGTCATACTGGTCAAAGTTTTAGATTTTGGTATTTTGGAATAAGATTTTTAGATCAAGTGATAGCTGCATGAGTACTCCATATGATTTTGTGTTTGTTTTTGTTTTCTTCAAAATTTTGGAATTTGAACTGAGGACTGCACTTGCTAAGACAGGCACTCTGTTACTTAAGATATGCCTCTGGCCCCCATTCTATTTTTTTTTTTTTTGGTCCAGTAGTGGGGCCTGACCTCTGGGCTTGGGTGCTGTCCCTCAGCTCTTCAGCTCAAGGCTAGCGCTCTACC